GGGGGGGGGGGAGCAGTTGTTCCCACTAAATTTACGACGGCGAGAGGAGAGCGTGCTCTCTAACCCTCCTTTCTTACGACCGGTCTTCTCGTCCGGTATTCCTACGTTTCCTCGTCGTTAATGAGCCCCGATCGTACGGCGCCATATGTTACCGCGCGCGCGCGACCGATACTCTGTTTGTTTTTCCGCGGGTGGCTTTTACGCCGCTATCGCGTATCCCTGTATGCGTACGCTGACACACGTCCCGAATCCGCGTGTAAAATGTAACTTAACCGCTTTAGTACGGCTGCCATTAAACGCCCGTCTGTGTCTCTGTCTGTGCTCGATATTTTGGGTTTATGTTATATTCATGCGCCGACAATGGGATGGATGCGCGGTGGAAATTTCATCGACGCACGAAAATACAGATAAGCAAACAGATATATCCGCTGGATATGGGCGATGATGGGAAATCAATCATTCGATTGATTCGCGGACGCGTTCGTATTGTTCGCCTGGGCGGCGTTACTCTACAAAAATTTTATCAGCGCACCTTTGTCATCGTTATACGCAGGGGGACGTTGTCTCTCTCTCTCCCTCTCCTTCTCTCTCTTCCCTTCTCTTTCTCACTCTCTCTTTTTTTCTCTTGCTCGCTTGTTGCCACGTGTCGGTCCGATTTTTAATTGGCAGGTCGTGTCTCCGGGGGATCTATGGTCCGCCACTTTCCCCTCACTGTTCGGAAAATAAAAGGTTTGATTCGCGATAGTCCGTTAAATTGCACGCGTAACTTCCGACCCGAAGAAAATCACGTGTTACATACCGCAGGTCAGATGCAGGAGACAGATTGCCCCCGGACCGCAATCCTCATCCGTTTCGCAGGAACCGTTTCTCGCCTGACTATCGATTTCCCTCCTTCGTCGGTCGGGCAGGTGGAGGGCCACGATTTCGCTCTTCTCGGGAAAAGAACGTCACGCATTGGTGTTATTAGAAAATACATACCCGCGGCAACATAGAGACGCCTATTCGCGGAAGAATTTATATCCGAGAGAGAAAATACAATGTCGCGAAATTTCACAGTTAAAATCCCAGTGAGGGGAAATATAGTCGCGACGATATCGTTATGTTAACTTGCTCGTTGATTATTTTATGCTGCTTTATTTGGCGCGCTGCGTGTGTGCGGCGAGCGTGTGCGGATATTCTGAGATACGCGGGGGGTAAGTTTGAAAAATTAACCGAGCCACGATTATGAAATTAGAGCCAAGCGACGTGATCGTCGCGGATTCGCACTTACGGACTCGCTGCTGCTGGAGTCGTCTAACTCGATCACTCGAATGTCTGGCTCTGCCTAAGATGGAAGCACCAAGTGATATTAACACGTAATTGCGGTGTGACACTACAGTTCGCACTACGCGGCCGATCGGTAAGATTAAGTCGAATCTCTGTACCTTCTTCTGCTGAATGATGCATGGCTCGATGGCCAACACGATGTGCGTTAACAACACGAGGAGAAAAAGTCGGCTCATGTTGGACGACGCGCTCGGAGAATTGCGGCGCTCGACGACGCGAGAGCGCGTTTTATACCTCGCTCCCGTAGCGTTCGTTGCGAAATTGTTTCATCAGGAAACGCGCTTATCGAGGTGTCGTTAAAGACGATGACGACGAGACGCAGAACAGATTCACGAAGGTTCCCTTAACTCGACCGGAAATTACGTAAACGAGTTGCCCGATGTTGCGTCAAGTATCCGTGGGATCTGCCGCTCGTCTTTTTCACGCTTATTTATCTAAATTGGAAAAGAAGAAGAAGCGCGTCGTAAAGCACCGTCGATGATCGTCCGGGGCTTAGCAATTTCCTCGAATGCGGGTAAAACCGATTCTCCCGATATCTCGACCTCGTAGCAGCCTTCGCTCGCCTTAATTAACTTTATCTCGCGAATATCTTGAAACAAAGTGCGCGACGATAATTCACTCATTTCCGTCCTGGAAATTATTTTCCTCCTCTCGTCGCTATTTTAACGTTGTCGTTACGTACGTGTTGATTGTTCACTCTTATCATAAACAACTCGCCGATTCAACGAAAAACCCATAAAACGAATAACATATTTATGACATATTTATCGAGCTCCGCGTTGTGTATTGTTTTCGGTTACACGCGGCGTGAATCGAAAGTCACGTAAAAACGGTCCGGCGCCGAACGCGTCAATTTTCATGCTCCTTGTTCTCCTTTCCTCGTGTCGGAGTCCTGTAACAGTTACGACGCGAAAATTTTCGACGGGAAAATGTGCTCGAGCTCGCCAGTTCTCAGGAATATACTCCACCGATTGTTCCGTAGCGTTACGATCCCGTAGACCGGGCGCTGTCTACGTATCCTTATTCGATTTCGTAGTGTTCCCTTAAGCGATATATTTCTCCCTCTCCGGCTCCTGGCAGGCGAGAAGAGAGAGAGAGAGAGAAAGAGAGGATACTTATTGCGCATTTTCCGCGGAATACCGCGCTACCTTCCGTAAAATAAGACATACGAGACGCTCGTTTCCCGATGCTCGAGGAGGCTCGGTCCCGCGAGTGCAGTATGCATTTTCGTGCCCCCCCTCCCCCCGCGCAGAGCCGGCCATGTAAAGGCAATATCGCGCCTCGACTTTTCATCGGGATCGACTTTAATGACCGACTAGCTCCGCCGAGCTAGTCGGGGCCAACAAAGAGTCTGTCGCCTTTTATTTTTCCCTGCAGACGAGCACGCAGCAGAGCGCAAGAGGGGGGGGGGGCAGGGACGGTGGTGGCGGCGGGAGGACGTTATCGGTGTTATGGACGTCAGGATTAAAACCTTTAATCAGCCGCGCGCCATTAACGCACTTTGTTCAAACGTACGGTACGTCCGCCGCGGTCGCCGGTGGAGGGGAAGAAAACGCGGGCAAAAAGAGGACGAAGAAGCAGGCGGGAAATCCCTGGCGAAGCGCATCGCGCGTCCTTCCGCGTTCTTAGCCGGGGTCCGGATGATTATCCTGGCGCCCATTAGCACTTGAGCCCGCGTTTGCTTATTATACGCGAATAATCAAAGATGTTTCTCGCTGTCGGCGAAATGGCCACATTAGGAAATTGCACGGTCCGCGCGCGCATATCGTTATTTTCGCTTCCTCGTTATCTCCGTCTTTGAGGGAGCGCTTTTTCACTCGCTCGCTCCGCTCGCTCGCCGGCGAGATCCGCCCGGCAAGTACCACATGTTTGCTACGCACGCGAGATCATTAATATCTTGCTTTTGTTGCACCATTAGTTCGGAAACGGGATCCTCACGGAGGGAGGATTTATTACCGCGTTTTACGTCGCATCGAACGCCCATCCCCGAGACGCTCGAGGATGTGTGACTGTGCGAACGATAATCGGGTTACGGTGGACGCGTCGAAAGTCACACATCCCCTACCCTTCCGAGGAATCGATTCGAACTTCAGCCGGCGGAGGTTCCGAAGCATTTTCGCGCGGAAAGAAGGGAGGAATCTTCAACGGCGTCGAAGCGAAAGGGTAAACGGCTGAGCTTTTTATACACGTCGGTTGAAGTGCCGCCGGTCGAAACCCTATCGGGAAATTGACAAAGATATTCTGGTTGTTAAATCACGGCCTGGAACTTTTTGACTACGGTGGTGTATTTGATTTTTATGAGTTCCACGTAAGAGAATATTAGAAGAAAAACGCACCAACCAGTCCTGGGCTACCTTTATGCATACAAATAGTGCTAACTTGGACTTCGGTTACCTCAGCTTCGGGTACAGTCAAGGTCTTGTTTGAATTTTACATTTGTGTAGATCGCGTTTCGATTAATACGCCGTTGAAATGAAGAAAACAGGAAGAATAAATTTACCGACTGTTTTGAAAGGGAAAAAAATAAACATCGTTATTTCGTTTACTGTAAACGCGTCTATCTCACTATTATTCCCGGTAGGCTCCGTTAATTCCTGACGCACGTACTTAAAACGGAGGGAAGTGCAGCTGTTTGCACAGCGCGCCCGCTGTTAGCGAAGTTGTCGCGTGAAGGAGTCCAAACTAGAGACGGTGGCAGGATGTCCTCGACGGACGGTAGACGTGACCGGAAGTCCTTTGTTCAGCTGATTGCCGAACAACGTGGAAACTACTCATTAGCTTAGCAAATAATGCTCTCCTGGGTGCAGTTCTAACCTTTGACTAAACATTCGCTCGTCGCCACCAGTACTATCTTATGAACCTGTGCTGCTCTGTGTCACTTTAACTCCGGCCTCATGCTTAATTCACTTAGCGGATATTTATCACTGTCTGGTTAGATTACTTAAGTCAGTTAAGATGTTATCTCGTCTCGTGATCGCGAAAATATTCAGATTAAACACAAGTACGTGGTGTTGCGTCGGAACTTTTCAACTCTCAGACAGCCTCGTTGTCTGAATCTATTTAAGCGGATCGAATCATATAATCATACGTATCTTTGATAGGTTTTATTACATTTGTGATTGGTAATACATGGAAGAAAATCAATAATATTAGCATGTTCTTCGGATCTCACAACGGATGCAAATCGGTTGTTATTATCGAACATTGTTATTATCGAATTATAATAAAATGTTGACATCTCCAGCTGCGTGATGACGAATTCTAAGTGAAGTGGAGATAAAAGTACTCGCGAGTATTACGTCGTTCTGCGACTTTTAATGCATACTGATCCGCGTGCGAGCAACGACGAGACGAGTGACGCGGTGAAAGAGGGGCCCGGTCTGCTCTCGGATCGCCGTGGTGCTTTGGGAAAACAAATTAGAAATACCTCGCAAGAACACAGGAACAGGCAGAGCTTGCGGACTTTTCTTGGCAGCGCTCGCTGACTTCGCGGAAAGAAATGCGCGGGCCAAATTAGTTGGAACAGTCACGGTCCAGACGACAGCTTGTGAATGATGAATGGAACGCTCTAGGTAATACTTTGCGAGGGGTAATTTTGAACTTTCCCGCGGTAAACGAAGTCTAGACACCCGTTTGTGAGAATAGCACGGGCACAAATCTCATAAACTTCAAGACATTGAGCTAAGTAACTGAAGGGGAAGGACAGAGAGAGAGAGAGAGAGAGAGAGAGAGAGAGAGAGAGAGAGAGAGAGAGTGGGGGGGGGGGAGATTACGAGCTTTTCGCTGCTCCGTCGCGGGCCCGTTTTAATAATGCTAACTTACGCAATTACAACAATAACTAACGTAACCAGCGAGGTGTCTTTAATAAACTTGAAGATAAGTTTTACGCCGGTATATTTATGCGCGTATTCGTTTCTTGCGCACGGGGGACGGCTCGATATCGCGCGCTCCTTTTCACAGCCGTTCGAAAAGTTCGCGTTCTACCCCCGGGACGGTTTCTGCAGCGCGTAAACAAGATTCGCATTGTTGCAACGAAATAAATGGAACGAAGATAATATTCTTTTGTCGTTCGTCTGGACGCGTCTGGAAGCTTAATTGGTCGACGATCTCTAACCGCTGGCCTCGTTAATCGCAAGGAAAGAACGTCTTCGTGGAAGGACGGGCGAAGAAAAAGGTGCGGCGACGATCCGTTGTCGTCGCGCTAAACGGTCGACGTTGCTTTTCGCGCGCGAGAATAAACGCGAGAAAAACGAATCAGATTCGCCGGGATCGTTCGTCAGCTCTGTATATTTAGACCACGGTCGTGTTCTTAACGCTTTACCACTCCTTTTCTCTTTCTCTTTCTCTCTCTCTCTCTCTCTCGTCTCCTTTTCTCCCTTTTCTCCCCATTCCCCGGTCTCACATTCTCGAGTATACATTTCACGAAGAACCGAACGGATCGACGGCGATTCCACTTACACGACGCTTTTTCGCCCCGATCTTAGATCTTCCGCGGACTTTTGCGATCGACTGTATGTCCGATTTAAAACGGCTCATCCGATTATCGCTCGGACGAGCGGATTACTTTCTGCGGACATCACATTTTTCACTTTACGAGAAGCAAAAAATTATTTAACGCCCGTCGCAGATCGCGCTGGCGCGGGTGTGCGTGCGCCTCTACGCACGTGCGAGTGAGTAAGCGAACTAACGCACGCAACCACACACACACACACACACACACACATACACACACGCATGTATATAACAGGCGGTATTCTCGAGCGCGGCGCGCTCATGCAGTATTCATTCGAAAGCGTTTAATAACCAATACCGTCGGCGGGCGGAATGTAATATTTTTTTATACCTGTATATAAAAAAGAAATAAAGCAAAAAAAGAAAGAGAGAGAGGGAGAAAGAGAGAGGACAGAAAAATCCGATAAATCGGCGCGGGGGATACAGCGGCGGGCGATGGACGCGTCGATTTGTTTTCACAGATTTTTCCTCGGACATTATCGCACGTCGGGCGAATGCAATCTTCAGCCCATGCGCGCGCTCATCGGCGAAATAACCCGAAAATAACACGCTTCAGCTTCGATCGTTGCTGCGAGATCCGGCAAATGAAGATTAATGGTAAAACTCGACACGCTTATTAAAGCGGCCCCGCCGATAAAAGATCCCGTGGATTTTTATTCGAGAT